CTAGAAGATCCCTGCCACTACTTCCAAATGCCAGGCCTGGGCTGAGCGCACCGCACCTCAGCAGGCCTGCCACCGCCACAGCCCGCTACCTGCAAATCAGCTCCCTCAACAGTCCCTGCAGTTGTCCTCAGCTAGGTGACCCCCATCCCAGACTTCACCCCTACCACTGGAGCATGGATGTGTACCTATTCAATGAATGGTTAATTCATATGATGAGGCCTAACTAAAAAATTCAAGCTGAGTCAATTATACTCACTCTCCTGGGAATCTGAATTAAGAACTATCAGGCAGATCATGTAGGGACAGGAGCAGAAGCTGCAAGAATGTCCCAAGGTAGTGTTGGGACAACTGTGGTTACATGTAATCTAAAGTGAAGAGGGAATAGAAACTGCACCAAATGGAAAGTTGTTGGTCTATAGTTAAGAGGAGACCAAAGCAGAAGTTCACAGTCCCAAAATATCATGAGAAAGATGGCCCATGAGAGAGAGTTACAGTGAAAATGAAGAGCTAGTTGACAGGACACCTGATTTCAGTATTGTATTAGAATAATAGCCTCATCCCTCCTCAACATCTTAAGGTAATCTTTGTCTAACTAGAACAAAACACAGTGTCTGGTAGTCAATAAATGTGCTAGGTATAAATACACAAGCGGCTCCTGTTTATTATAACAGATAAACTTCTATGAAACAGATAAATTGGATGAAAACTGTACAGATAAAACTAAACAGATAAAATTGGTTGAAAGCTGTACAAAGTACTCTGAAAACTGTAAGGCATGTGAATTAAAGTGGTACCATTATACCACCACTAACTACTGATAATGAAATTCCATGGTTCTGTTTTGCTGGCCATTTGTTATTACCCAGTTAACTCCTATGAATTTGCCCCTTGTCTCCAGAGTAGTGGAGACCTCTTGGCATTTGCTATACTCATGGCCTGTAATCAGCATGTGAAACTGACCAGGATAGAAAATTAATGTCTTGGTTTGACTGCCAGACATTTTATTCCAGCAGCTTGAATACAGACTAGCTCAGAGATATCATGTTCACATACTTGCAAGAAAAAGAAACCCTGTCTATCAATCAAAGTCCTGAAAGCTCTGAACTATCTGTGAACACTGGCAAGTCTATGCTGGTTTTTCTTATCTTGGGAGAAAGACAAAACAGAAAAATTTCCTGGAATCTATTGTTCCACTGCAATTACTGTCCATACTTTTAATTGCTTTTATATTCCCATGACCACTTCCCTCCTAAGTTGTCTGTGCTTCTGATGCTGATTCCTCACCCCACCGACATGCAGGGGCATATCGTATTCCTTCAGACCATATCCCCTCGTATCTCTGCTGCATGTCACACAGCTATGCCCCCTCCAGCTGAAGCCCCCTCTGACTTCCCTAACATAATACTTTCTGCTCTTGTAAATTCATTTGCATGGAATGACCCTATAGCTGTGCTTATGGCTTTGAGTGTGGTAACGCAGTAAAAAGCACTGGTCTGGGTACCATGAGACCCAGATTCTATTCCCGATCTAAGGATCGAATGGTTTACTTGGACACACATTTCAATTTCTCTGAGCTCCTTCTCTTCATTTATAAAATCAGTGCATTGGATTTGTTTTGCAAACTTTTACTACGACCAACACTTTATATGGTGATTCAGTACACACACATACACATTTACACATTACATGTATGTGTGTGCATGCCACACTCTTTCACACACACAAGGGCATTACATGCTTGCTTTCACTGCATGGTACATGCTATGAAATTTTCTATGCACATGTGTTTTATTTTTCAAAACTGCTAGTTGTAACTCACCAAACACACTTCAAGACCCAATCATGGATGGTTGCCCATTATTTATAAAATACAGGACTTGCTGATCTGTAAGTCTCCTTCCAGTAACAACAGAAGAGGATTCCACACTGTAACATTCCAACCTTAAACCTTTAGCCTTAATGCTCAGCTAAACTCCAGTTTCCTATTTCTCTCTGAAACAGTTTTTCATTTAGACATCCTAATATCACTTAACGCAGTTAACATGGAACTGAGAGCACCAGGTCCCCTTCCCAACATGACTATGTTATTAGCAAGTACAAAACCTTTTGGTCTATAATGGGAGAGCAGCTTGCCTCGCATGGACCCATTGATAACCACTAGCAATTCTAGAAAATATATCTTTTAGTAACTATATGACGGCACTGGAAAGCAATGAAACGGGAGGGCGTACTCCTCAAACCTCAGAAAGCAAACTAGGTAAGATCCATATTCATCCAATCCCCACCTCCCTACTCCCTCCGGCCCCTGCCCTGAGGCAATCCCCAGTGCTCCAGCCAGCAGGGGAATAAAGCTAAAATGGAAAGCCAAAAGCTGGCCATTGTATTGGGCTGAAGAGTCAAAGTTTCAAGGCTGGGGCTCTGCAGTGGCTAGATACTAAAGGAGAAATCCTAGAAAAGAGGAAGCCACAGAGAGGACAGCCCTAAAATCTGTGTGGGAATTCCCCTCACATCCTTGAGCTGTGCATGCAGGCAAGGAGATGCTGGGGAACCCAACCCAAAGCCGATGCCAGAAAACCTGGCAGATATTTAAAACTGTCTGGGGCCAGGAAGACAGAGTTTGAAATTTGAGTCCCTCCTAGTAGGTACAGTGAACACCTCCAGTTTTCTACTGAAACCTCTGAAGAGCCACACCTTAGGAGTGAGGCCCACATCCCAGGACTCGGGGCCACACCCTAGGACTAGGGCAAAACCAGAACAGACCTGCCCTAACAACATACAGGATGAGGCCTCCACAGGAGAAGGAGCTGATAAGGCAGGTGGCGGAAAGGACAGATCCTGGTAGAAGCCTTGGTTTCTAGCTTGGGAGACAGGCTGGGAGCAGCCCCTGAATGGTGCTTTGTTTCCTGAATGGAGTAGGGGGAGGGTGGGAAGAGTGGGGAAGAGGAAGGGATCAGGGGTTCCACTTGGACAGTTACAGCTGCAAATATAGGGTTAGAGGGCAGATGTCCACTATGGAGTCATTCTGGGTCTCAGGAGAGAGGGGGACCATGCAGGGACAGTCTGGTGGGGCAATTTACAAGGAGGAAGGTAAGTGGGCCAATAAAAAACAAGGAAATCATAATTTATGAGCACCTACTATATTCTAGTCATGGGATTAAGTATGTTGCTTATATTCTCTCACTAAGAGATGGGCATTAGTATCTTCATTTTACACATAAGGAATCCAAAACTCAGAGAGGTTAACTAATTTGTCTACAGTTACACTATTAGTAAATGGTGGAGCTGAGAGAGGAACTCAGGGCAGGAGACCACCTCCAATGTTTGTTTCTTTCTGTAATGGTATGTTCTGACTGTGCAACGTTCAGGAGGATAGCAGCACATGCACTGTAAGACAGCCAGTGAAGAATGTTGGAAAGCAATAAGATTTCTAGTATAAACTCTGATTTTGTTTCAGTCCAAGGAGGATACTGGAGGTAGAAAAAGGGGTGTAGATTGAGCTAAATATGATACAATATCAAAAGTTAAGGCCTCAAATATAAAGAGAGAGAATTGTAAAAATGGCAATAAATGGTAGAAGGTAGAACTGAGCGGGTTTCAGAGTGTTCATAGGGCATATTACAACACTCCAGAGAGAAGGGTTTGACTTCTGTTAAGGCAAACAGAATAAACACACTTTGATTAGTTAGGAGGCTTAATACAATAAGGAACTAAAGACAGGAAACAAAGTCCATCTGAGGAACAGATGCAGGGGAAAGGAGTAAGGACAATACACAAACCAACAGAAGGAATCACAGCATCAGACTTTTTTTTCTGAGCAAGAAGGAATTTAGAAGTCATCCAATCCCTATCAGTTCAGAGCAAAAATGTACCTAGAAAAAAAAAAGGCTAGCTGCTAAATACCTCAGCCTCCCAACGAAAGTCGGGTTTCATTTAACTTTTTACCTTTCTCAATGCAGGTAGATAGCCTGCTTCGTCCAACATGGTGCTCTGGAAATTCCAAGTCAGGCCTGTGTCGGAAGAGCACGGGTAAGCCACACAGCAGCTCCAGGGTCACACCAGGGACTCATCTTTTTAGTCTGTGCTGGCCCCCACCGCAAACCTAACCACTGCCACTGAGGCTGATCTGAAGGAAACCTCCCACTTGGGAGGAAGGTGTGAGATGGATTCCCCAGATCGTTCACATTTTCTGGCTCTAACCCTTATTCTCTGCCATTATCCAGACTCCCCCAAACTGGCCCAAACTAGAAAACCTGCTTGGCAGGAGGATAACATACATACATAATAAAAATAAAGGCTTAACAGAGAGCCCAGTAATTATAAAAACAACATAAAACAGTCATTTCAGAGAATTGGAGAAGATAACTGGCAAGAAAGAAATGACTTGTACGTTACAAATATCCCCCCCTCCCAGATAACTCAGTTAAGGCTCAGTGAGATGAAGCATCGTGAATGCCTCGCATGTACAAAGCACTACTAATATAAATGATCTTCTGATTTCCCCAGGAGTTTTAGTGCACATCATTCACTTCAGATTCCTCAAGGTCAAGGAATGAACCATCTAAGAAACAAGTTAAGTCTTCTTTCCCCTCATGTCTAAGGAAGTGTAGGGATTGAGAGAAAGAACATTCCAGGAAAATAAATTTTGGCCTGGTGCCCTGATAAGGAGACTGCTGTCTCCATAAGATGAACAAAAGATATTAAAGTAAGAATGGAGCAATCCTGGGGATTAGAGATGCCTCATAAAACCAGGATGGTAAAGGCACGTTCCCGGGAGAACAGTTGATTTGGAGAGCTATCCTGCATGGTCACAGCACCCTTACGCTACAAAGTGCCTCCCAAAGGAATTAAATCTCTAAGGTTGCTCCCACTCAAGATACAATTAATAAGAACTTTGGGGGCCAGGCTCCTCAAGCACACAAGTGTTCCTGGTACCTGGTATAACCTCCCCCTTTATCTATTTTCATGCTTTATCCCTGTAAGAAGGCCATCTGAGTTCGTACCTTGGGTTCTCTTCCTGTTTTGCACGAATTCTGAGCGTCTCAGGGTGCTAGGTGCTGTGCGGCGGAGGCAACTATTCCTTTTCCAAGTCTCTGGGCCATTTAATTTCCCCTCTTCCTCTAAATGCCAAGTATTCTTCCTTAGTGGAGGGCTGTGCGGAGTGCCACAGTGATGTTCTCCCTGGTCCCTCCATGCCCACTGATTCTGCAGATTATCCGAGAGGATCCCGCTGCTCCTGGCTGCCATCATTCCTGCTTTGTCAATGCCATTATGCTCCAAATCCTTCATCTGATGGAAAGAATTGGTGTCACTGTAATTCTGAAACGCATACTCATAGTTCACAAATGGAATATCATAGCCTTTATCTTCTGTATCAAAATTACTCTGATCCACGGCATGAGTCTTTGCTTTGGGAAAGATAATATTTTGACCGACATTCCAGTCCCCTTCATAGTATTTCACAAATTCCTTACCTTCATTGACACCATCCAAATCTGGGACGTCCACAGACTCACCACTAGTATAATTCCCAGGAACATGATATACATTGTTGAAGTCTCTATAACAAAAATTAGTTTCTTTGCAATCCTCGAGATTATAATTAAAATTCCTGTGGTTCATATGCCAGTTTTCAGATGGACCAAAATTCCCCATAGAATCATCCAGATCCCTGTAGCTAGTACATTGTTCAGTTTCTTTAGAGTCCTCAGGATTATAATTCAGGTTCTTACCTACACAGCCATTCATCTCTGCATGTCCTCCAGCTTTCCAGGTGACGTCTGGGATTCCTGTAGACCAATTTTCCTTAGTCCCAGGTTTTAGAACCCCATAATCTGTATTTTCTGAATTCCTGTAATCATCACAGCCTTGAATCAGGCTTGTATGGCGCACACAGTCCCTTCCACTTTCCTTTACTTCCTCGTAGTCCTCATAGCTTGGTTCACGCTGCTCAAAGTCCCAGTATCCACAGTGCCTTTTCCTATAAGGCCGATTCTGCCCCACGGTCCGGTATGTGGAATCCAAGTCATCTTCTCTGTTAAGTAGCCCTAGCGCTGGGAGGCCCCTCTTCTGTAGATTCCTATAAACTTCATACTCCTGGCTGGAGCCCCAAAGCCCGTCCTTCTCCGCTTCTCTTTCTTTTCTAATCCTGTGAGTCTCATACATACTCAGCATGCGTAAGCACAGGCTCTACTTCCCTCTTCCATGGGCCTGGGTTGGGCCGCGCGGTGTGGACAGGTGCAGTTTAGCTTAAGGCTGTGCCTGTCCTCCTGCAAATGTCTCCCAAAGGCATTCTCCTAGCTAGCGAGAGCACAGAGAGATGGGGGGTTATTTCGATCTCAGGATCCAATCAGTGAGCTGCTATGTCTTTCCCCATAGAGGCCAGAAGATAATTAGTAACTAGTGTTCATGTGATCGGAGTTGGCAGCTTTGTTTGGTGTTTCCCTCCAGCTGGTCAGACCGGCCTGGCTGCTTTACGTTTGAAGCAGAAGCACTCTGCTGCCCTGCAGGTTTTGCAGAAGCAGCCATGTGAAAAAGAAACAGCCCCCTTGAAAAGCCGGAGGTAAGGTTGCATATCAGTCTCATCTGCCTCTTTAATCTTTTAGTAATCAACCAGGGGTATAAATCAATGCTTTCATGTGAGGCTAAATCAATGCTTTCATGTGAAGCTCAAACTGGACCTGCCTTCCCTGTCCTCCAAGTTCAGCTTTCTAATCCTTGGGCATCGGAAACTCTTTGAGACTCCCTTCCCTTTAGTTAGAGGCAGAACTCTTTCTCCTCTGCCAACTTTGCTCTTATGGGATTCCAGTTGCCTGCCGGTTAGGACACACTCACAGCATAGGCTGCTCAAGCTCTTGCCTGCAGGCACATTGGAGGTCCCTCCGAAGGAAGAAAAAGTCCTCCTTTTAACTATGATCTGGTTCATGGACGATTTTACAGTGTAAAACTTTTCCCCCAGAGAATACAGTTACGTATGCTTTCACACTTTCCTTGATGCTTGTCATACGAGAGAGGCATCAAAGCCATCATTTTCTAAATCTCTTTTCCATTTAATTCATACAGTACAATTAGGAACTGGAGAATGAGGCTAGAGATCAGAAAGGTAGGTATAAAAATACCTATTTGAATCCACAGAGATAAGATAGGTCCTATTTTATATGATGCATTGTAGGAGAGAGAGATGAATGGGCTAGTCCCTGCCCCTTACAATGCAGGCACAATACACAGTAGAGGGAGATCAGCGAGCTAAGTGCCACAACAAACAGGCGGCCACCGCAAGGCGAATCCCTGGGCGCGGCTGGAGGCATCCCAGAAGTGGCAGCATCTGAGTGTAACCGGCATTTCCACAGACTTTCTACACAGGGAGAAGTAGGACTTGGGGAACACTTTGAAGGATACAATATGTGGCAAAGTAATAGGAGGTAAAGCTGGAGGGGTAGGTTGGGGCAGATCCTGAAGGATCTAGATACCATTAATTTTCTTCAGTGGATAATGAGGAGTCATTGAAGGTTTCTGAGCAGGAGAGTAACATGCTAAGACAGGCTCCCTTAACATGACTCTCGTAGCTGCCCAGTCATCTATCAGATGTCCACCAGTGATGCCTTGAACTTTGATCTAAACCCTATTTGTGAAATAATACAAAGGACCCTAGGAGACCAGGGTTATATGCTTTATCAATAATTAGATGTTTGCTCTTGGACAAACCATTTGTTCTCTCTGGCAGCCCATCTACCCATCTATAAAATGAGGCATTTGGCCTCGAGGTCCCGATTCCTTCCGTTTCATTTTCCTCAAAACTTATTTTCTTTTCCTCAGATACTTAATGTAATATCATGCCTTTTGGGGATTCTCTATTAATAGTTACTAAATGAACCTCTAAATTGTCAAATCTTCTGATTTCATTCATTTGGAGGTTTTTGTTCATTTATTCTTCCCACACGCCTTCCAAACTAATAGCAGGAGCAAGAGCCCTGGCAGCTTGCTCGTTTCCATGTGTGTCATGTGCTACGATCAGGGCTGGGCGTTGGGAGGTTGACCTGAATTTTCTTTGACCTTCATGGTATTGTCCTAATTTTACTACAGATAAAGAGTCTCAGGAAGCCTGCATACCCTGCCCAGGAACCCGCGAGCTCCTGCAGGGCAGGGCCACAACTTGAACCATGGTCTGGTTGACTTCACTAGACTAACAGGAGGATCTCAAAAATGTAGTGAAGCCTTAATTTCCCTTAAATTGAATAAACGAACAAGTAAACTCTACCGTGCTCTAATTCAGAGGCAGACCCCTACTGAGGCAAGTGAGCACACCCCCGGCCCCCTCTCCCCTACCCCCAGCACTGCCATCCCCTCTGTCTCCAGCCCTGACGCCAACGGTCTGGCCGCAGCGCTGTTCCCCACCACCACCCATGAGGCGTGCCTACACTGGCACGGTGGCAGGAAGGCTGCCCCTGCCTAAACCCAGTGAAGATGGACCTGGTGCACGGAACCTATAGGCCGGCAGCACTGGGAGGACGGCTTTCCCCATGAGTCACACAGAGCGACAGTGCGTACAGAGCACCTGAGACGGGGAATTAGGACATTTGACTTCTGGAAGCTCAATTCCGGCTAATAACCAGTTTGCAGCTATGCTTAACCTCTCTGCCTGTCAGTTTTCTTATGTGTGAAATGAGGAAGTTAATGGTTTTTCTGCTACTTTAAGTCTAAAATTTTATGATCTTACTTATATCTAAGTAAAAATTAAAAGGAAAGATTAATCTTTCCCTACCTGTTATGGAAAACAAAGTTCCTTTTAGCAACTTAGTATCTTTGATAAAGCCAGCATGATAAGAAACATACCTGGTAAATCAACTAAGAGAAGAGATAAAAAGGAGGATAAATCATAGGTAAGAAGGATACTAGTTATAAAATGACCCAACAGAAGAGGTTATTACTGAGGCTACAACAAATGATAGCTGGTTAGAATATGGGGCTCTCCACTCCCTCACCCCACCCTTCTTTTCCTGTCTTTTTGCCTTAGGGCATTAAAGATAGAGTTTGCATATAGATAGAAACTGCCTCACATTACTACTACCCAGAACTATTCAAAAGCTGTGAACAGGCTGCTATTTTCTCACGATAACTCTGAGTACCAGAGGGAAAGGGGGGAATAACCTGGCTACTTTCCTCAACCCTGGTATGACTGGTGAAATTCGACCTTAGAGTTACTTATACCTGTCTTGGCTCTTTTCCTGGGCACAGCAGTAACATTCGACCGGGACTTTTCAAAGCCCTAAAGCAGCATCCCGCCCGTGGTTGTTATTGGTTATTAAAGGATGGGTGATCTGTGATAATGACATCTGCACGAATCCCCACGTGGACAGAAATTCGGCTTATGGGGTGCTGAAAGAGAAGACGGGGCAGCAGGATTTGGAAGGAGGGAGAAGACAGAGGAAAGGTAAAGGAAGAAAAGGTAGAGGACAGTAAACAAACTAGCAAGAACATGTAATTCCTTTCACTTTTGTTACCGTCTCTGCAACTGCTCAAGTTGATCTTCGGGTCTGATGATCCACTCCTCATTTTCTAAGATTCTGTGCAATGACCCTGTTCGAGTCCTACAGTTCCTGCTGTTTTTCCAGAGCATCATACAAGTGTCTTTCTCATCCTACCAATGTGGCCTTATTACTTGTTTCTCTCCTTTTATTATACTGGAAGCTCCTTGAGAGTAAGGACCATATCTAGTTTACCTTCCAATCTCCAACGCAGCCTGGGGCATGCAGCAGGTGCTCATATGCCTGATGGGCTGATATTTATAGCATCTTGGGCACAGACTAGAAGCTAGGCAGGGGCAGTAGAGCGCAGAGGTTACACACACAGCTTGTGTGGGCCTTTGCTAGGGTCTGCATCCTGACTGTGCCATGGACTAGCTGTATAATCTTGGGGAAGTTACAGAAACTCTCAAGCCCGTTTCTTTATCTTTTCACTATCAAATCTACCATCCTACCTGCATCTGTACCCATACATTTTGCCTCCCATCCTGTTTGAATGGAGAAACTGTCCCTGCTCTGGTAACCGGCCCATCTCTGTTGGCTCACTGGATCCCACTCCCTCCTGACCCCTCAAAGACTCTGTTTCAGCAGTGAGGCCCTTCCTCCCCTGCTTCTTCAATGTGCTGCTTGAATGGATCAGTCCCATGAGCCTGTCTCCCATTCTGCAATTTCTGTTGGCCTCTCAATCCAATGCCCCCTCCAGCTATTACCCCATTTCTTCACTTTCCTTTATGGCAAAACCCTTTGAAAGACTTTGGAGGAAGCCAAATACTCAAAGCCTCTGCTTCCTTACCTCTCTTTTGTCCAATGAGGCTTTGTCCCTTCACCATCACTGTCCTGAAACTATTCTTGACAAGGTCACCAACCCCAGTGGTCATTTCTGGGTCTTCTTCTTACTTGGCCTCTCAGCAGCTTTCTGACACCATCACTTTCTCTTTCTGGAAACTCTTCTTTCACTTGACTGGCTGCTGCTCCTCTTTTTGTTATTTGATCTCCCTTGTCTTTCCACTCCCTGGGCTTGTCCCAGGGCTTCTCCTATACACCCAGTTACCCAGCACGCGGTAGGAATTCAAGGAACACTGATATGACTAGGAAGGTGGTTTCCACTCTTATTCCACACAGCTGCCTCTCAGCCTAAGGGTTCATTAGGAGGCTCTGTAAAGAAGGCCATTATGGTCAAAGTCACTCATAGGCTATCAACACTGCTACAGCTCTGGTTATGTGGGAAGAGGCTTAGAAATGAGGGAGAAGAAAGACACTTAAGATTTCAGGGCAGGTTCCCTGACAGAGGAAGACTAGGCACTAATGACTGACTGGGAGAAGGAAGCAGAAACAGAGAAAAATGAGCCTGGGAGAATTGGCAAAGGAAATAAGACTGAAATGCAGAAAAACAAGAGGTATTTGGATATACTCTGAAGGGAGTAAATATTTGAAATGGCACAGGGCTCTGAGAAGCCCTTAAGAGTTTAAAACATGATGATTTTACAGGGTGACAATACGAATTATGTGAGGGTTCACATGGAGAAACTGAAACTATGAGCAGGTTAGGGGTGTTACTAGCATGAATGGGTAAAAGTTTTGGAAACTTGAATAACTTCATGATAAGCTAGCAGTCAAAAGTGTATCTGTGAGAAAGGATTAACTATTTAAAAAATATATATTAATACATACATATGTGCTCTAAAAGCTATGGACAGATATAATCTAGCAAATAGTTTTCAACAGATGAGAGTCCTAAAGTGTGTTATGATGGTGTAATGGTTTTGGAAGTTGG